CAAGGGCCGGCAGGGCACAGGTGGCGGTTCTCGGCTCAGCTGGGGAGAAGGAACGGGAGGGAGGAAATGGCCAAGCATCCCAGAGAGGTGTTGGTCGAGGTGGGGTGATCTTTGAGAGGGAGGCCACGATGAGAGGTGCTTTTCCTGGTGTGTTTTCACATGCAGTCGAGTTAATCCAGGGCAAGGAGTAATTCGTCAGGCAGTCGGTGCTCTGCAGTGCTCGGGGCTTCAAGGCTGGTGCTGGTCTGTAAAACAAGACTTCTGTTGCTGCCTTTAAACGATGAAGTTACCTCGTCGAGCAGCAGAAGTAGCAACCCAGGGACTACCCTTCTCTGCCTTCCCCACACCTCCCATCCTCCATATTGACTCGGTGCTTTTCTTTTAAAAAAACACTGTACTTGATCAGATTTCCTTCTTGACGTGGTTTTCTCGTCTTTCTTTGATGACCTGAAATTTTCCCAGGCTCATAGCATGCGGTGTTGTTAGCACAAAAAAACCTTTTTCTCAATGGCCTGTCTACAAAAATCGGTGCCAGAACTGAGCTCCTGTGCTAACATGCCCATCTGAAGCAAGAATGCAGTCCAGATGCCCAAAATATTGGGGTCAGCGATGCATCTGGAGTCCCCTAGAGCTAGACCAGGCGACACAGTGTATTTCTGAAACGCAGAGATTTGCGAGGAATGTGGCGCTGGTATGTCACTTGAGCATACGAAAGCCACCTGTGTTTGATTAAGGTGCAGTCCTGCTTTCAGGACTAACTGGATATTCTTTCAAAATATTTTTCACAAGCCTTAAATTCCTGTTTGGGGATGAGAATTTCCTACGTCGGTAACCAGATAAAAACACGCTGCCTTAGTGTGACTTGGTACATGTGTTGTCCGAGTAGGCTTTAGCGTAGCACCAGCCCTATCAGTGATGCTGAATTCTGGATGTAAAGTTTCAGGATATTCCATAACTCGTTTTTTCTCGTTTTGGTTCTGCGCTCTCTGGAGTTGCTGAGAG